ATATATATATATGAGATAAGTGTATAAGTGACAGAAGGTTGTTCTTAGCAGCTTTCAGAGCAGAGTATACTACTGCCAGAGCTCTTAAAAACACTGACCTGTTAAAATGCTGAATAATAAATTATTCTCTGACCTGCTTGCCACACGTGTAAGTGTGATAAGCATTGGCTCTTTTTGATTGAGATTTCAGCCTTTCAATTATGCAGGTCAATTATAAATCATAGTGGGTCACACATTCTCCTAATAAGCAAAAGAAACCTATTTTGGACCCGGGATGGTACAGAAATCCCTTTGGGGTTACAAGGTAAAAAATCGACAAGCTCAATCATGTGGAGCTATGCACTGTGGTGACCCCTTGTGAATGATGGAGCAGTAGCTTTAATATCAGTAAAATTGTCATTGGAGAGCCCTTGCAACTAAGGTCATGTAACAGTTTCTAGACTGTGCACATTGAAACATGGCCTGTAGTTTATTTTCTGCACTGGTATTAAGCTTTTCTTTATCCTTTTGGTTTGTCACATTGGGAAAATTGTGCCCCATTCAAATTACCTAAGGAAGATCAAGGCCTTGAAATTAAAACATTCAAAGGGAATTCTTCCATCACCATTACAGCTTTCCCACTGTGATGTGTCAAGCAGCAGATGAATCTGCTGTGAAGTTTTTCTTTTGGGAGATATGACTTCAAAATTAGAAAGTGAACTGGCCCGCTGTGGCATACAAGGCTTAGTATTAAATCCTTCACGCAGAAATACTGTGAAATCATCCGTCTATGCAGTAGCGGTTTTTGATACGGGCGACACGGGTGGTTGCCCGGGGTGGCATCGTGGTGGGGGGCGGCATCACGGGCAAAAAAAAAATGCTCGTACTCATGCTGCCCCAACATCAGCCAGCGCATATTGGGAATGGCATAGGCACCGAACAGTTTTCTATCGCCCATTTGCTGGGAGTAAGGGCGCCCTTCGTTTGCGAGGTGCGCCTGCTGCTTGCGGCACAGGGAGGAGAGGTCGGGGCGGCGGGGAATTCTCTGGCTGGCTGGAGCAGCATCTAATAACCAACTCGCAAAATAAAACAAAAATAAAAACAAAACAACAAACACGAAAACACCAGACATCATGATACATACTTATAATTTGCACCAATGTTTTTTTGAAATTCTATGCGCGAAAAGTGAGCGCGAGAGCCCTCGGTGCGCCTGCTCGCTGCTGAAGTCAAAGTAAACTTTATTGTCATCTCCACTATACAGTCCAGTATATA